GTCAAAAGTAAAAATTTATAAAGGTATCCAAAGTTGTTACATTTTTGAGTTATCGAAATTTATCGAGCCATCGAATTTCACAGTTATCGAAATTGGTCGAGTTAACGAATTTTGGTGTTCTTGAAATCCATAAGTCCTTCAAAGACCTTCTCAGATAAAAATAAAATTAGTTACGTTTTAGCAGAAGATTTTCCGGTTAGTTAATTTGTACCGTATAAGGTTTGCTACGTGATAAGTTAGAAAACCTCTCCAAGGCTTCTAAAACTAGAAAAACTGTCGAATTTCGACAGTAGCTGGCACTCTAGTACATATGTATTTCTCTCAACGCCTAATGCATTTTGCAATATAATATTAACTATTGGCCATCATTTTTGAATGTCTTCGTTTTGCGCTGAAAAAGCTATACTCAAAAAACGTACAAAAGGTATCTAAAGTGACACGTCAAAATTGTTATTTCAATCATGATAAAAATCATTGAGAGACAGTCTGCCGTTTGCCAAAAACACAATTTTAAAATTCAAAACTCAAACTCACACACATATTCTCATTTTCAATCCCAAACAACAATTGTAAACAAATTAAATTTTTTTATTTTCAATTTTATAAGATTTTAAAATGTTGGCAAACGTCCGAAAAAGAATCATGGCCGACGAATTGAGAGAATGAATTTACCTTGTAATGTTTTTATCATGATTTTAATTACTTTGATTGTTTATAAAAATTAAAATGACATTTCTAAAATAAAAAAAAAATCAATTAAGTTTTAAGAACTCATCACATCTGTTATCAAAATGGCCCAAGTTTTTTATAAAAAGTAAAATTATATTAATAAAATTAATTTAAAGCTGAGTGACACAAAAGCGCATGGTTTCGGAGATTTGAACATAGAGTGCTACGGGGCGTATACGTTAAATACACAAGTGCTAGTGTTTTACAGGTCTATTCTGCGCTGGTGACATACATTTTATAACCGGTAATTAAAGTGTCAGACAATTTTTAAACCTTTTTCGCATTTTGTGCTCTCTTGTAACCGGTTAATTTGGTTACCACCTCATAAGCTGGTAACAAAATATTGCCCCGTGAAATATGCAATACAGGAATTTCCACAAATCTTCATAGCTGAATTACTGAATATTTGCACTGCATTACCAACGTACCTAGAATCGCGGTGACAAGAAATGGTAAATTTTTTGGTAATAAAATTCTTCTTTATGCAAACTGAAGGTAATGCATTTTCAAAGATAAGTGTGCCCCCATTTTGGGCCAAAAACACGTTTTTGTCGAAAAATGTACGAACTCGTGAGATTTGCTCATATGTGGGGTAACAAAAACCGTTGTCAGATCTCAAGAGCGTGTCAGACGTGGCAATATTTCCAACTTTTTCATGCAAATCGCTGTCAAATTGAGAAATAGAAATTTCATTTCCAGAAAGACCTTTCTGCCACTTTTCGGCAATCAGTTTCAGAAATAAGGGTTGCAAGATGTGATTTCAATTGAAAGAGTGCAAATCGAATTCGAAAATATATTCCAATTTGCTCGTACTGTACCAGCAATTCTTATTTTTGCCCCGTGACACTGATAGCGAGTTTGTGAGAACTAATAAAAGATAATGCTTTTAATTAATTACTTTTCGGAATCTAATAGACAAGTTATAGATAAGTAAGATACAGTTAATTACAACCTTTGTAAATAAAAAGCCGCTTTCGAAAGACACTTTACATACAAGGAGTGATTTCTCATGCAACTGCTATTGCATTGCCTAATCGAAAGAATTGATCGTATTTATGAGGTTTTTCTACTTAAAACAAAAAGTACGTTTGAAGAAAGCCAATAGAGATCCCAGTCTATTATTAAGGCCAGTATGCAGCTCCCAAGAAAAGCAAAAACTCCATATAAAATGACGTACAAGAAATGGCTAAGAAATTTTCTTGAGTCAAATTTCCTTAAGGCAGTACGCAGTTCTTCAGAAATTTAGTACGCTTTCTACTACGGTTATCTAAAGTTTTTTGTGAAAAAAGAGCACAAGCACAAGGAAATATATGCCCGTTCCATTATTTCTTGATGAAAGAGCGAGGCAATAGGCTGGTGAAGTATCAGTTGTGAAAATTCCTTGGACACACACACGAAAAATGGCAATTTTTTTCTTGACCGTTTTCTTGAGAGTTGCATATCAGCCTTTAGTTTTGTTCAACATATTTTATTTGGTCGTTTTTTCTCTGCGTATGGCCATGATGCAGAATGGAACGGTCTATGTGGTCAATATTTATATGAAAAGTTAAATATGTGCGCTCACGCAGATGCACAGAAACAAAAACACCAAAAATGTGTGTATGAATATCTGCATGCACATATGTATGTATGTACGCATGTCGAACTATTGCACGCCTGTGTGGATTGTATATTAAGCCACAGGGAGTCGTAAGAATCCTGTAGTCGAGCAGCAAGGATATTAGTCTGAAAACGGCGTTTGCTTTTAGCATCAATGGCGCTCAGGCATCCAGTTAGATAAACAGAGCAGAAGCTAAGGGACTAGCAGGACTAACTACATGCATGCATACATATATATGTATGTACATAAGGTAGCAGTCAAAAGAAGAGAAGCTGGTAAACATTGAAGTGGGAAATGGCAATGCGTTCAACAAATACCGCAAGCCACATAATATCCCTGCAGTAAATCGCGCTAGTTCAGAACTAGCTCTTTAAGAGGCGGTACTGGTTCTCGATCTATCCCAACGCAATGCTTTCAACTGTCTCTTTTTACATGGCGATGTCCTACGAAGTGGAATTTGCCACCTATGCAGAACTTTCGAACTAGTTCTGAACTGGTTCCATTTTCGACAGTTCTGGGACAATAAGTTTTTTATGAAAAAATTTTGATTAAGTACTGAATTTTTTTTTTTTNACTTTTTTCTGTTCTTTTGCAGATTACATTTAATTTAATTTTCTATACTTTTGTTTTATTTATATTAAATTTGATCATTTTCTATTCAATTTTTAAGCGGCACTCAACAATTTAAATTTGTTAAATCTGAAAATCACAACTGCCTCTACCGCGATTTGAACTCGCGACCAACGATTTTAGAGTCGGAGGTCTTCCCGCTGAGCTATTTGAGTATTGTACGAGACGTGAGAATTTGTGCATTTACTTCTCAACAGAGCGCAATTAGTACACCAAAAGTTTGAACTGTCCTTCTCTGCAGCCGTTTTGCACTACTTCAGAGATAGTTCTGAAATGTGTAGGGCGGAACTAGCGCTTTAACAGACTGTCTCTAAATTTTACTGCAGGGATATTACACAAACATACGTATTTTCATATTTAGGTATAGTATTTATTATTACTTATATACATACATATATTTACTCTTAGTTGCCGTAAATCTACATATTTAGGCCAATTTGCTGTTGCTGAAAAAATTAATTTAGCTTAGTTTAGGAGATATGCTGCTTTGTGCTCGATTGCCATGCAATTTGTAGTAGATTTCTCTGGCTTGGGTGTGTGTGTGTGTGAAATATTTTATTATCTTTATCCTTGGCTTGCAAATTACGTTTGTATAACTCTTAAATCCACACACACACACACACACGTTACGGCATTATTTGCCTTTATTATTCCGGTTTTATGCACTACTAATGGTATTTGTTGCATCAGCTTTTCACACTTAAGTTGTCAGACATAAAAATGAGTCATGTTATTTGGTTTGCCAGAGCATCAAAAGGACTCTGAAAATTCTGTCTTGTTTGGATTTTAATATGAAGGCTTCTAAATGAATACTAACCAAACAAAGTGCATATATGTACAATACATTATGGTGCCCCAATTTTTGTATATTTTTTTATGCGACGCAAAACCTCTTAATTGTCCCCATTTTAGCCTAAATACCGCTTGGCTGTAGGTTTCGTGATAACCCAAGCCGACGTGAAGTTGAATTTTGGCGTATGAACTCGTACAGAAAATACCACAGCGCTACTGACAAATTTTACATACATTTCTGTGTTCGCAATAGTAGCTTATGTCGAGAAGCTGGCTTTAGTATAATGCGGCATTCCATATACCCTTTAAACGACAAGGAATTCTTTGATGAGACTTAACTAAGAACATTGACTTGCCAGTATCGGAATTATTTTTGCACGTTTATTTGGTAAAAGTTCTGCAACGGCTCGGCACCAGGGAGTAATTCCCAGTCGTATTCTGGGAAAGCCGCATTATACTAAAGCCAGCCTTTCAACAATTCCAAATGAACACAGATTTGATATTTACTCAAAAAAGTGAATATTGCTGACGTAATCACCATCCAGACACCCCCTTCCCTTTTCGTAAAAATTAAGCAAACCAAAGACCCCTCCCGCGTTGATCGTTAGGCATTAGGTGAATAGCTCCTGAAGACCGAACATTTAAAATTTTTTTTTTTAATCTCAGCTAGTTTCATTTCAATCTTACCAAATATTTCCATCCAGCCTTCTTCCTTTTCTACTTTCAGGGCCAGCTCAAAGTGTCCTAAGTTCCGTTCCGAGGATCAGTCTGGCTGGGTCCTTCCTAAAAACTGTTCCCGAACGGAAAGCTTCGGACACCTTACGACTTCCAGATGTCAGTTAAGCTTTACACGGTTACAGCGGATCTTTGTCAGAAGCAATAACCGCCCTCATAACTGGAACTTCGGCAACATCGAGCGCAAGGGTCCAATTGTGGGGTATCCAACGAGAGCAAATCCTCTTGAGACAAAAATGCTCATGTAAATGCGAATGTGTAGGCTAGTGTCTCTGATGTCAAAGTATAACTCTATATCACGGTATGTTACATGGCGATCTACTTCCAATAAATAACACACAGTATCGTTAAGCATCGTTATCTCTCGTTTTGCAGATAACAACGATCTTTCTAGACACCTGAGAACTTGAGTAAGTAATGAGACAAACTAGTCTGGCAGAAAAAAAAACGAAATCATACTAAAACTACGAGAAGCTGCCACCTATATTATGGGGTTTATTAGTAGATGAACTTCTTGAGGTGCTACATATACAATAACGGCATAATGTGCCAAGGATATGCGGACAATATAATACTAAGAGCGAGAGGGCCATTCAAAAATACCTTCTGTTGCGTTATTCAAAAGATGATGCGGCACGGTGGGTCTTTGATATTCAAACCTTGCCAAAACAGCTATTGACCTTTGAACCTGGAGAAGAAACCACCCACTCACTCACTTTATAACTCTGAAAGGAATAATAATAGAAATGTGCTCCGAAGTGAAATATTTAGTGGTTACATTTGACTCCAATATATTATGGAACAGCATGTAATAAGTATATGCTACGTGGCACGGCCCGAGAGGACCTCCTTCCGCACTATGAGAGGATCATCATCATCATTTTCCACCAGGTGTCATTCATATAGCCGTAGAAAAGACTGATAATAAAGGCCTCATAGACTTCAAGGGAGAGGGCATTGGTAACAGCACAGAAATCTGTGGAGACTGAGGAAGAAAATCAAAGCTGAGGTACTCATCTCTCAGTTCAACAGAGACATCTAGACAGATATGGAGTGGAATTCTGACAATCGTCACGCTAAATTTCCGTCGCCAAAATTCTGTCAATGTACAGCAGTGAGCCTAAAGGTACACAACATTAAAAAGTAACAGATGCAATGTGTAATTAGCCAAATCTGGCAGTATGTTTTAGGGCCATATGCTGTCAGACAATATCTAAAATCAGAGAAGCAGCTGCTAAGAAGAGCCCATCGGAAGAACTTTTCCGCTACACGGCAAGCCAAAACATTTAAAAGAAGTTACAAATCCAAGAGATTAATGACTCTCTTAAAGACAAATTTAAAACATACTACATAGGAAGAATATGTTTACCGACAAGGCAACCACTCCTGTCGCTACTGCGAAATACCAACAGCAGCACCACTACACCTCCTTCCAGGATGCGACGCGACAGCCAGAAGAAAACAAACACATCTTGGAGAGCTATGACCATAGACAACGCACATTTACTCTTCGCTACGGTTTTACGGCTATATGAGATCTTTTTGTGAGTTCTAAGAGCACAATAGGCCGAAGATCGTGAGGCACACCATCCATCATATCCATCCTTGAAAAATTAAATAATTTTATTTGATGCAATTCAACTACGTTATTACACAAATGTCGAACTTTCATGCGTGTGATTTGCACAATGTGATACGTTGAGGCAGTCTCGGTCTAACTTTTTAACCAAATGTTCAACTTCAAGTTGGCACCGATTATCGTTAAATTCAAAAGGTAACAAGAGAGGACCTAATTGAAAAATAAGGTTTCTCCTATATTTCGGGCACCCTAGTATAGATATATACACACATAGGTATATATTTATTTGCTGCACTAAAGCAATTAGTTAATTGGAGATATTTACATAAAGAAAAATATTGAGTATGCGTGCGATTTACATTTGTATGAATTAAGTGCGTATGTACCCTGTCGGGAATTTCGTAGTCGCCTACGAAAATCACCGCGCACGGCAATGCGCGCGAGTGACGAAAGCAGCCACAGTAGCATGCTGAAATGACTCGCTTATATATATATACACGAGATTAGGAAGTTTTTATCCAGACGTCCAATCGACATGTTTGAGATATCGTTGGAAAGCTCTTGCAGAGTGTGTCCAGAAAATGTATTCAAGCTTCATAAACGATTAACCGGATTCTTAGAAATTGGGCTAAAGTGTTGCGAAACAAAAAACGTTTTTTGGCTTTTGCCGGTTTCAGGGGGCATGTGGGTACACCCAACATATTTAGTATTATTCTATAGGTCAATACCTTTCAAACGATACGTTATATATTACGCTTCGGCTACTAGTTGGAAAGATATAGAGGTAAACGTGTTTTGGTTCGTGTCTCCACTACGAGATGCTTTGATATGTATGTGGCGTCTGTACGTACCTTCATTTAATTTCTTTCAAACTTTCAGGAATTAAAGAACAAAAAAAACTAAGAAGGTCTTGTTCAAGGATGTTTTGATTTGTATGCCTTTGTGGGCGTGGCTGCTGCCTGAAATTCGAAAAAAGGCCATTTTTTAAACTACCACTGAGGCCACACTACTCAGTCCATGTCATTGATGTCGATATCAGTAGAAGGGTCTTCAAACAAGCTATCTAACGCTATTTTTTGTGTTTATAAAATATAAATATGTCATAACGTTATCGCCCGAAAACTAAAAATCGGGCTGCTGAAAATATACTATTCGGGCATTTTCTCAAAAACTGGTCAGTCGATTTTATTCTAAGTTTCCACAAGTCTAGCCCAAACCCCTAGCTTTCATCTGGTATACAGCTTATATCTGGGAAAACTCTTGTTGTGGAGATATTGCGATTCAAATCGAAAAAATGTCGCTCCAAAAAGGGTCAAATGGTTAAGAATTAACATATGCGTCTAATTTGGTTATTTTAAGATATAAAAATAACTTACCCAGTTCCCCAAAAAAATTGCCCATTCCCCGATTGCCACTTAAACCGAATTTCCCTGAAAATCGGGGAATTTTCCGCGAGTTGACAAGTTGAATGATGCAGCTGTGCTAATCACTTCCTAAATGTCTTGGAAACCACAATTTGTGTGTATTTTAGAGCACTTAACCTACCTGGGAAGACGCGTACAATAATACCTACATACACATTGTACATAAATATGTATGTATGAATGATTTAGTTCACCCAGTGTGCTGCTACTACTTACATACATTCGTTTTCTGCTAGAAACACAAAGTAAAAAACAAATCTTATGCAACGATTCGTATGAATAAAAAAGATTTTCCTTACGTTTCAAAGGCAGTCAAAAAATGCGTATAATTTTCGTCACGAAATTGATATCATAAATTTTGTGTTTCGAGTGCAGCTTTCGTCACTCGAAACTTTTACCTCAAAGAGGTGTTTTATTTGATATTACTACGCTAACGAAATCCCATACAAACTTATTCCTCCCTACTGCTCCTATGTTTCTCAACCAATTTAAATGATTCTTCTTTTGTTCGAAAGGTATTATTTTCCAGTAGGTACCTGATTTGGTTTCCACATCTATAAATTTTTAAATTATTTAACAGAATGTATATTACTCCACCAAATAATATATGTAAGTGAGCTAGACGATTAACTGGTGCTGATGGACCTAAAAAACTTCCCAGGCAAAATGAAAAAGTGTGTGAAAAAAGTGAAGTGGTCGAATTTCGACAACGGGGCGATACTAGTTTTATTTATTTCGCTTCTTTGCTTCATTTCGGGGAATGCAAAGTAGATGCTGCAACGTAGTCAGCTGAAAAATATAATGAATATCCAAAAATTCCTTTTCTACCGTTACTTTCTGTGGAAGTTGAAGTCAGTCAATGAAGTGAAGTACAAGAGTGAGGAAGTAGAAGTTTAAGCTTAATTAAATATGCATGTATGTACATACCGATTATGAAGTAAAATCTACCTAAATACCTAAATACATACTTATGTTTGTATAAGAACTGATTTATAAAAATTTTAATTAATTTTAATCTTTTAAGATATTTTCTGATTTTAATTTAATATAAATAAGTATGTACTTATCTAGGCATTCTACATTAGTTTCTCTGTAAGGCATTCTTTGTTCGCTTCTCTGGATGCTGTTTATTCATGCGTTCTCCCTTCGTTCGAAGGTAATGCTGCGAGTAGGGACGTACGGCCAATGACATTCCCATTTTAAAATAATGCCTTCGTGAAGCGAAAGGGTAAGCGATTCCCACCGCCTAGCTCGTTTCCACTTTCGTTCCTGTGGTAATCGTGTTTTTTGTTGGGAAGCTTCTGCTGAGCTTCTGCGAATGTTTTGCAAGTTGTGAAGCCATAAGAGATTGAAGGTACTGTGTCTGATATAATTCAGTTGGTTACCATGAATTTTAAAACAGATTTTCTTTGAAATTGTCATCCCTGTAAATTGCCAATTTTCACTAATAATAATAATCCCAACGGTTTTTTTCAATTGTTGCGCCGAGTCACGAAAGGCAGGAGTTTTTTAAGTGTCGAAATCTAAACTATTCAGCTACAGAACTCAATCATCACCTGATTACTACGTATTTATGTTAGTCAATCATTTATTGAGAGAGGATAGTATCGCTTTCTTAATGCTGAAAAGCGAATCAGATATATCAAATGTGGTGGATCGAGAGTTAAAATCCTGGCATAAGCAACGGAGTGGCTATAAGCAAACATTTTGGAAACCAGTCCCAGGAGGGTCAAACGAAACGGGTAAAAAAAAGTTCAAGTTTCGCACGCAGATATTTATTGCCTTCACCAGCAAGTGTTTCGAGCGAGCAGTTATTTAGTGTTGCACGATTGATTTAGCACCGTAATGCTCAGAATGAAAAAGGAAATCGGTTAAGTCGTGTCTACGATACCTAGAGTAAAAATTTAGACATCTTAACGAGCGTGCATTTTTTTTAGCTAAGGACGGATGGTATTGAAAGTGGGCGAAATCGGGTAGTTTGCAAAAACATATAAAATACGATATTTTAGTGGCTGTTTAATCTTGTTTCACCTGTTCACAGTTGGCTCTTGATATGCAGATGATTGATTAAAGATTCCTGAAGAGATCAAACTTCTTAAAGACTATTGTTATGGAACGCACCTTAATATGTCAGGTATAATTTTTATAACGGTAAACAACTGAATTGTAAAACCAAATGCTTCTTACTATGCAAATTTTCAAGCCTTTAGAAAAATAATTACTGAATAAATACCGGAACTTCAAAATCACAATAATTGGTATCACCTGCGTGGAATTCTGATTATTACACTAAATTTTCTTTGCCAACATTCTCTAAAGGAAAAACAGTGGAGCCTAAATGTAACAAACACGAAAAAGTAACAGGTGCAATGTGTAATCATCCCAAACTGGCAGTATGAGGGGCATGTGACTAGATGTTGCACGTTGTTAGGCGCGCATTTAATACTTTTGGAGATTTTTAGCAATCAAAATTAGCGATAGCGAAAGTTCGAATCTGGCTGCTGGTCTGAGGACAATTAATAAGTAATTTTTAAGCAGAAAACAAAAAAAAAAGAATTACATAAATCAGTTAACGTGGTCCCAATTTTGCGATAACATCCATAACAAAATATTCCGAAGAATTGATAACCTCCTCCTTTTTTCGGCTAAAAACATAAAGTATAAAGAACATAATGGATTGGATGGAAAATTACTATGGTTTTGTATTTTAATATGCGGCAGTGCAAGTGCAGTGCGCACTAGTTTTTTTTTTCTCCATATGGCTTTCCGATTTATCCATATAAAATTTTGTAAAGCATAATTTTAGCAATACACGTCTATAATTTATCCGAGGGCGAAGATTTTCGAGTGAAGAAGAAATGAAGGCGGCAGTAGCCGAGCACTTCAGAGACAAAGGCGGCGAATATTTTGTCACTGTGTTTAAAGCCCTTTATAATAAATGTAGAACTGCATTGTGTACAGATTGGTACAAAAAGACAGGCATATAACTCGTGTTCAACTCATGTTTCACTTTACAAGTTAGAGCCGCTATCTCAAGTAACCTGTAACTTTAAAGTTCACTTTATATTTAAACAAAATTTGTTTACAACCAAGACACATACATACATCAAAAACCGATAACAGAAATGCTTAACTTTAGACATATCTTTATTTTTAATCCAAAAACTAAAAGCTTTGAAACCAAATATAAAAATTTAAATGATAACGAAAAAAATACGAAACTTAAGTCCTATTGGCTTTCCAAAAGGTATTGCTAAAAATTTTATTGTATAGTATACATTTACTTCTTTTTTCCATACTTTTTTATTTAAAAAAATAAAATAAACCAAATAAGATTGCTTTATTTTCAGCATTAACCGTTTTTTTAATTTTTTGGACCAAAATAATCTTTAATCCAGAATTTTACTTTCCAGAACTTTAATTTTAAATCAATTTGTTCTTACAGAATTTTTGAATACGGAATTTTGACCCGAAATATTACTTTTAATTGCAAATAATTTGTTCACATTACTTAGAGATTTTTCGCCCAGAAATTC